CGGTTCTTAATTTGAACCAAAGAGTCCAAATCCGGCAAATCGTTTTGAGAAAACAGATTTTTAGAAAAGAAGTGCCAAACATGGACTGCTTTGCTAGATACAGAGTCGCCACCTAAATATTTTTTTATGGGAGAATTTAGGAAACCCTGACTCGGTGCCAAAGGCCACGTGTCCGTCATCACCAAAGTTGCCTCGGCTCGGGAGCTTGGGTACGATTGGGGAAGGTTAGCTATGAGCACCCCCTCTCGCCCGATCCGAAGATCGGTCTCTACTAACCGTGATATCCGTTTTTGAAAATGTTATGTTTTCTTATTCCGTTTATTAGCCTAGAATTACTATGTTATGCGCACAGCAAACAAGTATAGACCAAATTGCCTAATTTGGAACAAAACATTTCATACTTGTTTTGAAAATGGTTTGCTACTCACAAGTAGGCTGAAATGCAGGTTTTGCCACCCTCAAGTGGGCTTTAGAAAAGATGATTTTGCCACTATCTAGTGGGCTTAAAACTCACAGTTTTAATGCATTATTCCAATTTAGGTAATTCGGCCTCCACCCATAGGCACTCAAGCTGTTTATATCACATAAGCAGCTAGCCTCATGGTAATCATGTTATTATGGCAACACTCACACGCATGCGGTATGCTAAAGCGTAAATGCTTACCTAGTACTCCGAGCCAAAACAAAAGCTAGTTAGTAATCAATGCATGATCCTAGCTCATGTTAAAATGGCTAATGCAACGCATACGGAATGTCACTAGAGTAGGCTCGGCTAGTCTATAAATAACATGTGAAAATGCACAAGTAGCATGTATTCAAGTTAGATTTGAAATGCTTATGCAGTTAGTATGATGCGCCGAGCCTGGTGCATGCAAGACTAATGAATGATGCACGCGTGCATAGCATAAGGTATGCTAAAGTAAACATGTCCTAATACTAACCATCAAAGCAGGTAAGTAAAAGGGAGAAAGAAGTGGGGGTTGGAGGACATGCACACACGCACCCACACTTATTACAAATTCACCCTCGCTCGGAGGGACCAAAAGAATAATACAAATTAATTAACCTACAAGCTAAATAATTGTTACAGACCACCTAATTAATTAAGCAAATTAACTAAGCTAAGAGAGCAGTAAAGGCCTCGGGAAGAGGATCTAATGCGCGCGTGCTCGGGTTTGCTTGAAAATCCAACGCCATGCACAAGTTTACCTCTGCTTTGACTGTTCTGCTTCTCTGAAAATTGCACAACTCCCAAGGTTGCTTCTCTGAGTATTGTGGAACACCACCGGCTGAGTGGGATCATCAACGGCCATTTTGAAGTGGTCATCGACCATCCATTGAGCTCTCGGCCAAATATATTTGGTCGGTCGGCAGTATATATGGCCGGCCGGCCAAAGCTTCCTGCAGAAACCTGTTCGACAGCAGCAGAGGGCAGGCAAGGCATGACAATGTATTTCAAGCAAATGTATGCACCAACATATCCCCTATCATGTTTTTGATTCAAATGGACACGGTTCTCGATTCTCGGACCATCAATCGCGCATTTCAATGCATGATGGCCCAAGAAACCAAGTATGCACTTTGATTTTAAATGAAATGCAATGCAAATAAGCAAACAAATGGGCTTTCAACCTCTATCATGGCTCTATCAAGAGGTGAAAGATACATGCAAATGCAATGCAACCTAAGTATGTTAACTAGGCATGCAACATGAGCATATGGGAAGCATGCAAGGCATCTAACAAACATGCAAGTTAAATGAGCATATAAGGCACAATGTCAACACACAAGCATGCAAAACATATGGCATGTTAAGCAACCAAAACAAGGAGGAGAATACGTGCCAAATGCAACATCTGTTCCAACGGTGACGTCCAAGTCTTAAGGACGGTCAAAAATGGGGTGTCTACAATGACACATGAAGCAAATGACCAAAATGGATCAAAACAATCCTAAATCATGTTAAGGCAAGTCTTAAAAACCACCTAGATGGCATCTAAATGATCTACACATGGAGGCATGCACAAATGCTTAAACATGAAGCATACAACACAACCTCTTAGAGGCATCAAAGGCAAGGGTACAAGCATGTTATAAGGACTGAAATAACATGATAAGTGGTTCCAAATCACTGAAACAATGCAAGTAATGCATGCTAGAGAGGCCAAAGCTTAAGGCATTCAAGAGGGATTGCATGGTAGCTATACAAAGAAAGACATGAATGACTCAAATGACCTAAAACAGTCCCTTAGCACATCAAAATATGCATGTAAGCTTCACAAAGCTAAGCCTAGATCATGCTAGAACAAGGGTCTACACCTAAAGCATGTTAAGGCAAAAATGTGGCATTACAAGACATGTATGCAAGGCATGCAAGGTGTGTCTAAACCAACTGAAAACAGAGCTATATTATGACATAATAAGCATAGAAATCAGTTAAAGCATGGCCAACATACACTTAAACAAGATGCTCCCTCAAGAGGCAAAAATGGCCCTTTTCAAGGACAACAAGGAGAGGGGGTGGCCCTCTCCTTCTTAGGACCTCAAGGCACCATCCTCATCACTAAAATCCATCACGATTTCAGTGGTGAGGAGGCCCAAACACAATGGTCCCGGAGCTCAACCGAAATGGCACAAAACAAGGGTCAAACAAGCCTTAAGAGAAGTCAAACAACCCCAAAGCTTAAAACACCTTTAAGAAACTATTTAGGGAAGATAAAAACAAGAATTTTCTATGTTATATGTTAAGCTCAAAAACAGTTGCAAATATGGCAAAACAAGCTATGAAAACAAGGCTTAAAAGAGGTAAAAGCTAACCCTTGAAGCACAACAGCAAATCAGCAACTTTTGGACAAAAAAAAAGCTTCAAATCACCCCAAAAATCACCTCCAAGGACCTCAGCTCAATAAAAGGAGTAGAGAACTAGGTGTTTGTATGCAAAAGTGCAAAGAAAATGCACTTTTGAGCACAAACAAGCCCTAAACCTTAGAGAGAGAGGCAGAAAATGTAGAGAGAGAGAGAGATTTTTTGGCTCAAAGTTGTATATCTCTTCCTTGTTGTAAGGGAGCTTGATTGATATAGAAATATATCAATCTGCAGCTCCTCAGAACACCCACGTCCAGGTATGGGCTGGGGTATGGCCTGGAATGACAGCAGCCAGCTGTCTACAGAGATATCTGTTGAAAACCACACTTGGCCGGTCGGCCATCAAAGTGGCCGACCGGCAGTCAAACTGGCTGGCCGGCCATCACATTTGGCCGATTAAAAATCAAGGTGGCCGGTGGGCAGGAGACTTGGTCGACAGGCCATCCCCTTCCCTCAGGAACACATCCACAAGCTCTTGGTGCAAAACCAGACACAAAGCAGTCAAGCCGAGAGATTCTGAGGCAAGGCGTGCGGCCGAGGCTTCCGGGAACTCAAGACGAACACAAACAAGGATGATCACTGAGTGTTCAAACGGTGACGTCCAAGTCTTGAGGACGGTCAAAAATGGGGTGTCTACAGTTGCCCCTCTTTGATAGAACTTGAAAGTCATAGGAATGACGGGAGTGAATGTCAAAGCCTACGGACGACCCATTTTTGACAAGGCCGAAGACTTAGACAAGCATACAAGCTACAAACAAAGATATGCGCCCGAAGGCAGGGGCAAAATGCAACTGACAATGCAAGGAGCCGAGCATAACTTATGATCATGCAAAGAAAACTGTAATGAAGCATAACATGCGATAGTTTTAAGCTGGCATACACCAAACTACACGACAATGCATAAAGGATGTAAGAGAATTATGTAATTCTCAATACGTCTCACTCGGAGAATACAATACCTGCGCGGTTCATCTGATTGCACCAGCTTCAAATGAACCGTAAGTACAATATCATGCCTGAAAGAGAAAAAAAACTTAACAGGTACAGATATCGTTAGCAATATGCATAACATGCAAAATGAATGCAACATGATATGCGATGTATACAAAACTATGTATAATAATGAAGATGAAAATGCAATGCAATTGAATCATAATCAAATCATGAGCGGTTCGAAACCACACAAATGTCAAATAGATTGAGTAACAAGTCCGTCTACCATAGAAAAGGTGCCGCAACCCTCAAACCAACATACCAACGTGGAATAGGCGCGTACACATGCAGAACTATGAGTGATGTAGACGGACACAAGAACAAGTAATTGGGTGGAATGACATAGGTGGGGAAATGACCCGCTGAAGAAAGACCAATGATCCTAATGCTGGATGCGAAAATTACACTATAATGTAATATATCTACAATGGATATGGCAAGCAGCCAAACCAAATCTTGCTTAGGAAAGGCATGGATACACACAAACCACGTCTAACATAGAACGGTCATACAGAACTATGAGTGTATAGACATGAAAAGTATGGGCACATACCAGACTAAGCTCAACATGGAAAGGCGCAAGCCATAGATGGAAGTGATGTAGTGAATGCATACAAGCTGCAATGCAATATATATAACATGCAATGGAATAGATATAGTGGAATAAGGCCTACGGCCAAACCATATCTTGCTTAGGAAAGGCATGGACACGAACAAGTCACGTCTAACATAGAACGGTCATACAGGACTATGAGTGTATAGACGTGAAAAGTACGAGCACATATCAGACCAAGCTCAACAAGGAAAGGCGCAGACCCTAGATGGAAGTGATGCAATGAATGCATGCAAGCTACAATGCAATATTTACAATATGCAATGGATGGGTGTAAATGTAATATTTGCAGTAAGATGCATGACATATGCATTATTTACAGTGGTATGCATGACATATGCACTATTTACAATGAATGCATGACATATGCACTACTTAACGATGATGCATGACATATGCACTATTTACTATGATGCATGACATATGCACTATTTACCATGATGCATGACATATGCACTATTTACAATGATGCATGACATATGCATTTTTTGCAATGATGCATGACATATGCACTATTTACAATGATGCATGACATATGCATTTTTTTTGTTTTGTTTTGTTTTTGAAATGCAAATGCATAATGATGCATGATTTTGAAATGCGTGACAACGTGCGGCTTTTGAGATGCATGACAATGCAGATGATCTTGAAATGGGCGACAACGTGCGGCTTTTGGAATGCACGTGAACTTGAATATGCGACGACGCGAGTCGCTTGAAATACATGTATAATGCAACTTATCAAAAGTTGTTCGGGCACGACAAACACCGAAGGACTTACACCTTTAGAGGATTTAAGGTCTCCTAGACTGAGCGTATTTAAGGTCTCGCCAGACCGTTAATATGCATAACAATGCAAGCATAATGATATATAACTCAACACGCGTTCATACTAAAGAGTTGTAAAGCAATGCATGCGAGGCAACTTTCGAATCTTTAAAGAGACAAAATGATACAAAAAGGATACACCTTGCACATATTCGAGTGCCACGCACAGAAGGCACGGTCCGAGGTCAAAACAGGGGCCGGTCGAGCTTCGGAAATGCACTTTTCTTGCACTTCCTCGGGCAATGAAGGCCCCAAACTACACATATGACCCGAACAAGATTGTAGGAGGCTCACCAGCCATCCACCGGCCACAAAAAAACATCACCGGCCAAACATTTGGCCGGCCGGCCAAAGATTTAGCTGACCGGCCAAAAATGCCTGATTCGGGGCAGTTTTGTCTTTTTGCCTTGGGTCTTTTAAAATAGGGTTTCAAACCCTATTTCTTTCATTTTCCTTGGCTGAAAATAGTTACTCTCTCCCTCTAGAGCATTTTCCCCTCTTCCATTCTCCGTTTTCCTTGATTCTCGTGCCCTTTTCGACGCTTGATTCACGAAGTTCATCGCGTTTCGAACACTTTCATCCGGTCGAAACTTCGTTTCGATGTCTCCTTTTCGATTTCCGCCTCTTGGGGTTTGTTTCCCCCAAGTTTTTCTTGATTTCCGTGCCTTTTCTGCACCCCAACCTTTCCAGCCATTTTTCACCCTCCCAGGTTGACTTTTCAGTTGACTTTTCATATTCTTGCCTGATTTTCACTCTTTCGGCCATTTTCGCACCACTTTTGACATGGCGGATGATATTCCACGGGGCGGGACTCCCCCGGATCACGAGATGGACCCAAAGGCCGAGCTCCTCCCCTTGAGCGTCCGTCCGTTCGACCTGGTGACCTACTGGCCGGCGATTCATGTGCTTCCTCCTGACGGGCTTCGCCAGTTTCGGAGTTTTGACAGGAGGGTGCCACCAGAGCTGCTTCTGTGTGAGCCGGAGTCACATTTATCACATGGCGCTTCCAAGGTATACTCTCCCCTGTTTCATTTTCCGCAATGAAGAACACTTAACTGCCATATTCGATTATATTCTTTAACTGCTTAGTTCAGGTACACTGATGCACTGTATACTGTAGTTAACTGTGAACACACTTGCAATTGATATCTGTTTGAAACTGACACGTGCACACACATTGCACTAGCCCTGAATCACTCAGACACACTGACACAGTACACACTGTATTCCACTGCGAGCACACCGGCACCCGATATTTGTTTGAATCTGGAAAATATGCACACATGTTGTATCTGTACTGAACCACTCAAACACACTGACACATCATATGCTGTAGTTCCCTGCTAGCACACCGGCACCCGATGTTTGTTTGAACCTGAAAACGTGCACACACGCTGTATTGCTACCAATTCTGAATACTCTTCAAAACTGTACATTTTATATTCTTCGCAACTATTTGCTTTTGAACAGGGAGATTCCCATACTGTCCGCGGGTATAGGAATGTTACCGCCAGGGATTGGTACATGGAGTTACTGGACGCAGTCCGTCGCATTGTTGACCAGGCCGGATTTGGCACATTCTGCAGGGGACTCTCGCGCCTTACTGCGAGCAGGCCTCTCCTTGCTGCTTTAGTGGAGAGGTAGTGGGACACCACCAATTCTTTTCACTTCTCCGTCGCGGGAGACATGACGATGACTCCCTATGATTTCTCGATGCTCACTGGCATCGGAGTGGGGGGTGATCCGATCCCCTTCGACACCGACATGGATGAGTGGGAGGCTACTCAGGTCTACCTGCTCGGTGAGGTGCCGCCTCTCGCACGTCCCGGCTTCGTTCGATATTCATGGTTCGAGGTCCAGTTTAGAGTCCAGCCAGCCTTAGTCGAGGAGGCTCCAATGACTCAGGAGGCGGTGGAGCGATATGCGCGCGGCTTTCTCATGTTCCTGCTAGGGACGATTATTTTTGCCGACCGGGCAAACATTGTGCCCCTTTGCCTGCTCAGCGCTCTCGTGGACGTCACCCGGATCTTGCGCTATGACTGGGATGGCGCTGCCTTGGCCACTTTGTACGGGTACATGAGCTCAGCCTCCTGTTGCAGCGGACAGCTGCTCGGGGGCTACTGGCGAGCTTGGGAGGTACGTTTTCTCCTCTGCTTTTCATTTCTGCTTTACATTTTCTGTACTCTGTACATTACACACACTGTGGTCTGCTTCATACTGATCGTACACTGCACACACGACACACACATATACCCTGCTTTACACTGACTGTACACTGCACACACTGTACACTCTGTTCAACACACTGCACAATACACGGTCCTGCAATTTCTGCTTTATCTTGTGTTCAGCTTTATCTGATAACTCTTCTGGTATTGGCTCTGTAGTTGTGGGTCTACGCCTACTTTCCGAGGCTCTCCCCAGTGCCAGATGTAGAGACCCCTCTCGTCGTCCCATTTTGGCGTCGGTTTGAGGTGAGGTGCGTGCGGAGGCCCCGGGAGACATTCATCTTTTTTCGCCGCTACTTTGACACTATTACCCCCGCAGAGGTATGTTTTACTTGCGGTTCATTTAAGCTTCGCTTTACACTGTATTGTCAATAATAGTAGATAACAATCTATATTTCATTTTCAGATCACCTGGCAGCCTTGGGCTCCACTGCCAGCCGTGACTCGGGATCGGTTTGCCGGTGCAGAGGAGACTGCACGTTTCTGGATTTTGCTGGAGGGCCCGGTCTGTCGGGCTTGGTACTTGGGTGAGCGTTTCCTATGCCAGACCCTGGACTTGCTAGAGTAGATAGTTCCGGGTCCATCTTCTACCCACATGAGGGACACCGAGAGGTTCACCGCCGAGGAGATGGCTGATTACACGATCGGCTGGGACGCGGAGGGCTTTAGGGGCGAGGGCGACTATTCAGAGTATGTTCGGACGTACATTATGCAGCTTCTGAGCGGTGGCTGCCGAGCTGAGAGAGGGGGACCTGCGGCGCCAGTAGCTGGAGTAGGAGCGGGGGCAGGGACGTCGAGGACAGCTTGTGTCCGTGGCAGGAGCGGAGCTCGGAGGGGTCGGGGGGTTAGCTGGCCAGCGTTACCCACGATGATGACATGCCGATGGCAGGGTGGGGCGACCTACCAGATCCCCTTTGCTCCTCCTCTGGCTGACCATGAGTTGGTCGATTTCCATGACTTGCCTCCGATATGTATTACTACATTTTATGCATATTGTATTGGCATTTCATTTCAGTTTATTTGATATTCCGCAGAATACTGATGCATTTGATACTTTTGCAGGCTTCTTCCGAGTATACCCGGCAGTCCTTGGAGCTGAATGCCTCCATGATGGGGATGTTGCAGTGGACTTTCGACCTCTTGGCCCTCTATAGTATTCCGGTATGTTCTTCTGATCACGGTCTCAAACCATACACATAAGCTGCTTCACACAATCTGGTGCACAACACAACACTTGATAAGCTGCTCACGTCATTCATACACTGTACTCATACACTGCATTCTGCACTGATAAACTGCTCACGGTATTCGCACACTGAACTCATACACTACATTCTGGACTGATAAATTGCTTACGGCATTCGCACACTGTATTTATATACTGCATTCTGCATTGATAAACTGCCCATAGTATTCACACACTGTACTCATACACTGCATTCTGGACTGATAAACTACTCACGACATTCGCACACTGTACTCATACACTGCATTCTGCACTGATAAACTGTTCACAGCATACTGATGCGTTTGCCTCTTATACTTTTCAGCCTCCTTTCCAGATTCCCACTGTGGGAGGTGTTCCAGCCAGGCTTTCTGTTCCTGCCGGAGGAGATGGAGAGGGCAGAGTATTCCCTCGCACCAAGGCAGGGCGCACTCACGTCGGGAGTAGCTCGCGGGCTCCAGTCCCTGATGACGATGACGAGGAGTCGGAGGTGGAGGCGGAGGCGGAGGCAGAGTCGTCGTCGGAGGAGACCGGAGACGGCTCGGACTCGGGCTCAGATGACAGCGCTGATGATGCTCCTGGACCTTCGTCCAGGAAGAGGACTAGGACAGACTCCCAGACCTGAGATCCTTTGTCATTGATCTAGATTTTTGTTGTTTTTTTTTCTTTTTCTTTTTCTTTTTCTTTTTCTTTTGTACCTTTTGCTGGTAGCTAGAGTACCTTGTGCTGTTGCAGACAGATTTTTATTTCCAAAACCATGTACTTGAAAAAGATGATGAAATAAAACAAACTTTTTGTCTGAAAAAGTGTTGCATTTGTACATTTCATATATTGCATCACATTGCATCATGTTACATCTCAAATGAAATTGATCTGTTGTCTGAAAATTGAACACTTGCATTGTCATAATCAGATAACGAACCAGCCAACAGCAAAACAACCCATACCAACCACTGCACATTCTAAACACTCGGCTCATACTCTACTGGGGATTAATCTGCATACAACTCATAACACAACACTTGGCTCATTTTGCACACAGCGGATCCTGAACAAACAGCCCAAATCTGACAAGACGGACCATGAAGGTTGAATCTACTGAAGTTGAAGCACACTCAGATGCGATCTGAAACCCAGAAGCTTCAAAGAGGCCCAGGTTTTTCCTGTTAACACTTGTCGGGGGTTGACCCTGCAGTTGTATGAAAGAACCAAATCATGTTTTTGCACAAATGTGGAGAATGGCACAGCATTCTGAGCACAAAACGATTAATTTTTGAAATTGAAGAAAGGTTTTTTTTTTTAAAACTGGGGTAGTGAGCCTACAACTGAACATAGTGAGAATGACTCAACAGTGGAGACAAAAAAGGTAAACAACCTAAGCACAACGAGACGCACTCGGAAAAGACTCAAAACAAAGGTTGAAGTGAACAAGACAAAAGACACGACATACAGACGCTTTAATGAAGACGGGGGACCTCAGATCACGAGGAGCCAGTTTCTCTGGGTATTGTTTCCCACCCTTTTCTCATTTGTGATTCTCACATCACTCTGGCACTCAAGCTCGGTTTTTCTCTCAAAACCCTTTTTGCTCACTCTTTCTCTCAACTTACACCTCTCTATTCTTTATTCTCTCATTTTTATCCCTCCCCAAGATTTTTAATGGATGAATAGGAAGTTGTGGGTTCACGCCCGACATGGTTAGCTCACGGCTGTTTCTTCTAGTGGCGTTTGGTCGATGCCCCAGGTGAAGGAAACAGAGTACCTTGATCCCTTCAGATTCGTGCTTCGCACTTGGTTCGATACCTCGTTGCTCGGAGGTTGAGAGAGCTTTCAGCCCTTTAATAACAGCTTGAGTTGTGCCCTTTTTGGCAAGTATGTTGGCGATGGGGAAAGACAGAACGCCTGACTCAATTGTGCCCCTAGTTTATCATTATGACCATTTTTGTTTTGGTTTTCTACTAAAACAATTTTGACCAATATGAGAGTTAGATTAACACACTTGTTCAATTTTTGATTTGAAAATTATGCAAGTCAGGCCATGAGCACTGAAAATTTTCCTTTTTTGGGTCCAAAACGGTCTAAGTTTTGGAGAAATGAAATAGTTTTCGAGAAAATAGTCAACCTCAGTAAAAATTTTCAAAAACTATTTTCGCAAACGACCGGTGCTAAACAAGCGCGGAACTTATCCTCGAGATGCGCAACCTCGGATCGGAGGCAATGGAAAATTGCCCCTGGCTTGGAAGGGGTGGATGGCAACGGAAAGTTGCCCCTGGTTTGAACGGCAACATCATGGCAACGGAAAGTTGTCCTTTGTCTGGATGACGCCGCAACATTTGGTAAACAGTCTTCGTCAGTGATGATTGCAAACGAACTCTCGGATGCTGAGAAGACGGAGATGGTCAAAACCAATATATGGACACAGTCACTTTGAAAGTTCGTAGGATTGGACTTCAGGGCGAAGCTGCCTACATACTCCAAACATGGGAATCAAGGATGATTAAAAACCATTGCATGGACTTAGTCGCTATGAGAGCGTTGGGGGCTGGACTTCAGGACGAAGTTGCCTACGTATCCCAAACATGGGAATCAAGCCTTACATAGTTCCGGTTAAGGTACACTCGGGTATTTTAACCTTCACCTTTTAGGCTCTAACTTTTGCCAAGGCGTCCGATGCAGGTTTTCGACCTTGCGAGTGTAGACGCGCCCGTGGGCCTCATGCTACAGTTCAGACTCGATTTGTTGTCACGGTTCTTAATCTGAACCAAAGAGTCCAAATCCGGCAAATCGTTTTGAGAAAACAGATTTTTAGAAAAAGAAGTGCCAAACATGGACTGCTTTGCCAGATACAGAGTCGCCACCTAAATATTTTTAATGGGAAAATTTAGGAAACCCTGACTCGGTGCCAAAGGCCACGTGTCCGTCATTGCCAAAGTTGCCTCGGCTCGGGAGCTTGGGTACGATTGGGGAAGGTCAGCTATGAGCACCCCATCTCGCCCAATCCGAAGATCGGCCTCTACTAACCGTGATATCCGTTTTTGAAAACGTTACGTGTTCTTATTCCATCTATTAGCCTAGCATTACTATGTTATGCGCACAGCAAACAAGTATAGACTAGATTGCCTAATTTGGAGATAAACATTGCATATCCGTTTATCTTGAAAAACACTTTGGAATTTGCTACTCGCAAGTAGGCTAAAATACGGATTTCAACGAGTTTTTCCAACTCAGACAATCCATCCTTCACCCACAGGCAATCAACCAGTTTATCACATAAGCATCTAGCCACATGGTAAACATGTTGTCATGATAGCATTCATACACATGCGATATGCTAAAGCATAAAAACTTACATCGTACTCCGTGCCAAAACAATAAACTAGTTAGCCAACATGCATGGTCCTAGTTCATGTTAAATTGACTAATGCAACGCATACATGATGCAATTAGAGTAGGCTCGGCTAACCTAAACATGGCATGTGAAATGCAATCAATTGATGCACGTATTCAATTTGGAATTGAAGTACAAATGCAGTTAGCATGATGTACCGAGCCCGGTGCATGCAAGACAAATGTATGGATACACGCATGCATAGCATAAGGTATGCTAATTTAAACATGACCTATTACTAACCATCTAAGTAGGTAAGTAAAAGGGAGAAAGAAGTGGGGGTTGGAAGACATGCACACACTCACCCACACTTATTACAAATTTGCCCTCGCCCGGAGGGACCGAAAGAATAATACAAATCGAATAATGAATTAACTATCCTAGCTAATTAATTATTACAAATTATCTAATTAGTTAACAAACTAACTAAGCTAGGAAAAACAGTAAACCGCCTCGGGAAGAAAGCCTAATGCAATGCGTGCTCGGTCGCGCTCGGAAGTGCACTGCCATGCCTAGGCTACCTCTGTTTTCCTTGATATACTCCTCTGGAGACTGCCAAAGTCTCAGGATTGCTTCCCTGGACATTGGGAGACATCACCGGCTGAGTAGGATTGCCACCGGCAGTGGTATGTGGTCACCGGCCATTTATGAAGCTATCGGCTGAGGAAGGATTGCCGGTCGGCACTTAGCACTGCCGGTCGGCAGAGAGTTCCTGCAGAACCTGCAATTGACAGCAGCAGAGGGCAAGGCAGAGCATGGCAATGCAATTCAAGCAATATATGCACCAAACATGTTCCTTGTCATGTGAGTGAGTCAAAGGGACATGTTTCTTGGTTCTCGGACCACGAATCGTGCATTTCCATGCGTGATGGCCCAAGGGACCAAGTGTGCACATCTTGATGTCAAATGCAAACGCAAACCAACAAACCAAAGGGACTCAACCTCCATCATGACTTGGTCAAGAGGTAGAGCATGCATGCCAATGCAATGCAATCCTAATCATGTGAGCTAGCATGCAACTTGAGCATACAAGCAAGTGATGTACACTAGGTACACAAACTATGCAAACAAGCAAACAAGCATGCAAGGCATGAGAAAATGCGACCAACAAGTATGCGAGGCACAATGTGGGTGTTTAAGCATGTAAACAAATATGTGACTTCATTCAATCATGCAAGTTTCAAATATGCAATAACTCACCAATATGCTACAACATACAAGGAGTACATGCAACAAACAAAGAGGTGGACTTAAACATGATTTTGGGCAGCTCTAATTAGGCCCAAAACAGTGGCCAAAACCAAGGAAATGAGGCCTAAAACACATGCACACATGTATGCAAATATGGTCCAATTCCTAAGGCCCACCAAAGAAGCATTGCACTACACTTAGTGCAACCACACATGGCATGAATTAAATGACTAAAAACAGAATTTTAGCATGTTAAGACAAGGCCTAAAGATCACTTAGATGGCATCCAAATGTCTTAAATTCAAAGGCATGCACAAATGCCAAAACATGGAGCATGCTACACAAGCTTTCAAAGCATTAAAGAGGTGTCCAAGGCAAGCATACGAGCATGTCAAAAGGACTGAAATTATGCTACAAATGGTGCCAAACCATTGAAATAAAGCAAGGATGCATGCTACACATTCACACACTTAAGGCCAACAAGCCAAAAAATGCAAAGGGGCTATACAATGCATGCCATGGCCGACCCAAACAACTATGGACAGACCTCTAGCTTGGCAAAATAAGCACAAAAGCTTCACAAAGCTAGACCTAAAACATGCTTGAACAATGGTTTACAACCTAAGGCATGTTAAGGCCTAAACATGGCATTACAAGGTAGGTATGCTAAGCATGCATGGGGTACCAAAACCAACAAAAAACAGAGGCATATTATAACATAATAAGCACAAAAAACAACTAAGGCATGGTCAACATGAAGCTTAGCTAGGTGCTCCCTCAAGAGGCCAAAAATGGTCCTTTTCAAGGACAACAAGGAGAGGGGGTGGCCCTCTCCTCCCTAAGACCTCAAGGCACCATCCTCACCCCTGAAATTCCTCAAGATTTCAGTGGTGAGGAGGCCCAAACACCAAGGTCCCGGAGCTCACTCAAAATAGCACAAAATGGGGCCTTTCAAGGCCTAAGAGGGGTCAAACACCTCCAAACCACAAAACACTCTAAACAAACTATTTAGAGGGCCTAAAAACAGAACTTTTTATGTTATACACCAAGCACAAAAACAGTTCTAAGATAGGCAAAAAAATAATGCAAAAATAGGGAATAAAAGGGCAAGAATCTTACCCTTGTAGACCTTCTTCACAAATGGTGGACCAGCTGGTTCTCCAAGCTCAAAACCACCCAAGAACC